ACAATTTTTGCACTCCTATCCTATCCGCCATGTTGATAATAGAGTTTAGTCATTGCCAGATTTCACGGCACCTTACATATACAGGCCATTTCTCAATGTCGAGTAGAGCTGCTGCAGAGCCACGAGCCAGTGTCGCCGAATGCTGGGCATTTAAACAGCATTTAAACAGTCCTTCGGCGCCACTCGATGACGTAGTATACTTGAAATAGTGGCTCTGCAGCAGCTCTACTCGACATTGAGAAACGACCAGTGTCTATTTCTTCTTGTCTTCTGGGATTTGTAATTCCAGCCGTGCTCTCAGTGACACGTGTCCTGCTCTTTCTTCAGCTTCACCACCGCCACGCTGTGCACAATCCTATCCGCCATGTTGATAACGCAGTCATTGCACCCTAAATATCGTAGTTTTCAAATTTGAATGAAATATGTGTAAATACAACTGACCCCATAGACCAGTAAGTGGCTAAGTTTGTGTGTTGTGTGTAAACAGACCTCATAAATACAACTGACCCCATAGACCAGTAAGTGGCTAAGTTTGTGTGTTGTGTGTAAACAGACCTCATAAATACAACTGACCCCATAGACCAGGGGCCTATACTACGAAGCTGGTTCAACCTAACCTGGATATGTTTGAGTTAGCCGGTTGGCCTAATCCAAAACATAAGCGCTCTCGCTAAACTGTACTACGACGCTGGTTATCAAGTGGATCGCTCAAGCCAGCCGTGTCCTATCTAGTTAGGTGCGCGTTCACATGAAAGGGGTGGTATTTGGAGCATTCGACCAATCACAAACATGGAGAAGCTTACTGACAGCGCAGCGTCATACTTCCTGAATGAAAAGTGAACTTTAATACTAGTCAAAAATGAAGAAGTTAAACTTTAAACATCCATGACTTAAACACTTGATCCAGGATCAAAGCCACAGAGCTGCACCTGCAAGGTGAATACAGCTGGCAAAAGAAAAAGTGTTTGAATGCGTACATTAACAGGTTTATGATATCACTGCCCCGTCTAAGACACCATCTGACTTTTATTACATTTGTCTCGAGTGTTTCGTCAACTTAATGTGTTGCTTAAAATAATACTTCTGCATACAGTATGTGACACTGTGAGTGTTGCACGGCTAGATACGGCTCAGCTGACTCAGATAAGAAAATATGATACATTATGAAGTGATATGCCGCGGACTGTACTTAATGTTACTCTGATCCGGTTACTTATGTTGTGGCAGATATTTAAGTAAGCTTTCTTAACGCTAATGTTATAATAGTCAGATTGCTCTGAAGATGGAGGTGATATTCTATTAATGTTCACGTTCACACAGTCGGTGATTTTTGCCGGCCGTCTTTCCTGCGACGGCAGCTTTTCTGTATTTCCTTTCTCCTGTAATATGACTTGATCGCTTTAAACTCCGCACACTGAGCTCTGATTGGTCAGCAGGCCGTGCTTTCACTGAGTTGATCTCTTAGCCTGCAACCTAACCTGGTCCCGACCAGGTTAGCCGCTAAGCATAAGTTACCATGGAGATCTAGCTTGCTAAAAAGAGAACCAGCTTCGTAGGACCGGAAAGCCGGAGTTTTCCCTGAATTTAGCCGCTAAGAGAACATCCTGCTTCGTAGTATACCCCCCAGTAAGTGGCTAAGTTTGTGTGTTGTGTGTAAACAGACCTCATAAATACAACTGACCCCATAGACCAGTAAGTGGCTAAGTTTGTGTGTTGTGTGTAAACAGACCTCATAAATACAACTGACCCGATAAAACACCAAGTGGCTAGGTTTGTGTGATGTATGTAAACAGACCTCATAAACCCAGTTGGCCCAATATACCACAATTTGGTCCCGGCCCCATAAGCCTGTGAAATGTCACATATTTTATATTTATTATATTATGTATGGTCTGAAAGTGACATTTTTCTTTTGAATTGGAAATTGTCTTCTGGGGTTCAGTGGAAATATTTGTACCTTATTTTTAATATGACAGGATGGTGGGAAAGGTATGTCCCTATAAACTGAAAAACCCCATTGACCTTGTAAACCACATATGCCTGTGTGTGTGTGTGTGAGAGAGAGAGAGAGAGTGTGTGTGTGTGTGTGTGTGTGTGTGTGTGTGTGAGAGAGAGAGTGTGTGTGTGTGTGTGTGTGTGTGTGTGTGAGAGAGAGAGAGAGAGTGTGTGTGTGTGTGAGAGAGAGTGTGTGTGTGTCTGTGTGTGTGTGTATGTGTCAGAGAGTCGGCGGGACCCCCGGCAGAAGAGTAGTCGGCGGGACCCCCAACGGGACAGGACATGGAGCTGGCAGGACCCCCAGCGGAACCTCCAACGGCACACGACATAGGGTTGGCAGGACCCCCGGCAGAAGAATCGTCGGCGGGGCCTCCAACTGCACGGGACATAGGGTTGGCATGGAGTAGGGACTTGAGAGGGGACTCGAGAGGTGACTTGAAAGGGAACTTGAGAGGAGACTCGAGAGGGAACTCGAGAGGAGACTTGAGAGGTGACTTGAGGGGGAACTCGAGAGATGACTTGAGAGGAAACTGGAGAGGGGACTCGAGAGGGAACTCGAGAGGTGGCTTGAGAGGGGGCTCGAGAGGGGACTCGAGAGGGAACTTGAGAGGGGACTCAAGAGGAAACTGGAGAGGGGACTAGAGAAGGGACTAGAGGAGGAACTAGAGAAGGAACTAGAGAAGGGACTAGGGAAGTGACTAGAGGAGGGACTAGAGAAGGGACTAGAGAAGGGACTAGAGAAGGAACTAGGGAAGGGACTAGAGAAGGAACTAAGGAAGGGACTAGAGGAGGGACTTGAGAAGGGACTTGAGAAGGGACTAGAGGAGGGACCATGGCTGCTGGGGCCGGTACCGGAGCCGGAACCATAGCTGCCGGGGCTGGAATCCTGACCTTGCGTTTCCTTCCATGATGCCTTGAAGCCTTTAGGAGGCTCAGAGGTCCTCCAAAGGCCAGACGAGACCCAGCGAAAGGGTCCATAAGAATGCATTGGGGATTATATCTGACAATTTTGCCACCTGTTCAAAAACTATGGCTCTTATCAAAAAATGACCAGACCGTGAGCATCAGGGAACCCCAATGAACTAAAATATGTTGTTTTTTGGGGTTTTGTGTTTAAAATGTGGAGATGGGAGCAGTTTATCTAAAGTGTACTTCTCCCTGCTCTGAAGAAAGATCCGGAACAATTTAACATGGGAATCAATTGGTAGCTAGCTGGACTTGTTCTCTCTTCATGCCCTCAAGAGGCATTTTGTTTTGGCATATTTTTTCTTATTTCTTTTTTATTTTCCAACCTAGGAGAGGTTTTCCTACGTTTTTCATGAAAAAATATGTTGTGCTGTAAACAGCATTCGCACTAATAAAGATTTGAAGAATTATAGTGGAATGCTGTAAACAGCATTCGCACTAATGATTGCTGATGTCATGACCAAGCCAGCTACAAAGCTACAGCTAAAGAGATTTGCTCAAGACATGTTTGGCACTTAAAAGTGCACTAGTGTATTCACATTGTTAAGGCAAAAGAGAAGCCTTATTGTATTGTTTTGTTTTCATGTAACCATTAGAGTTAAGGTTGAGTGGGAGTGTTAAGTATTACTTTGTAATAGCCCACTCCATGTTTAATGGTACGTCCCATTGTGCACCCTTACTCCATGTTTAATGGTACGTCCCATGTGACGTCATAAGCAAGCGCGGAGCGCTATATGTTTCTTGTTGATTACGCAGCACTGCCATGCTGCTGGTTCATGTCCCTGAATAAATGGATGAAAGAAGAACAATGACGGAGCGTCCACACAGCAGCGTGCGTTGACGCTTGGAGGTGGGCGTATCTGAAGCTTGGGGATTTTATGCGAGCAACGCGACCAACAACCAATCACATGAATCTCCCGCCCCCGACATACAAAGCAATAGCAATGTTAAAACGAAGTAAACTGGATATAAACTCCCCAAACAGGCGAAAACCTACCAGTTTCACCCACTGTCTCTGCCTCCTCCCTCCATGCCTCGCTCCTCCGGTTTGTATCCCGGTAGATGAACAGAGACTGATCATACAGCACCGGGTGATTCACTACCGCTATAATGAATTTTCCCTCCATTTTTTTTAATATGAGGAAATGACCTGCGTAGTCTCTCCCAGCATACACGCGGCTCGATTGGCTAGCGGTTGTACTGGCAGATTTGCATAAACGGGATTTAATTGGCTGACGCCTCCGTCGAGGCGTCAAAAGTTGAACATTGCTCAACTTTTGACGCCAGCTACGCCAGCAACGCTCCACGTCGCTTCCCAAAATGCAGTTCGGCTAAAAGTGACGTCACCCCATTCAAAGTGAATGGGCAGAAGCGTTGGAAGCTTCAACGCACGCCGCTGTGTGGACGGGCCGTGACTGCGCATACTTTATTAGTTTAACAGGTTTGGATGATGGGTGAAACCCGTGTCACAGGCTCTTTAATGTTTGTCATATATACATCTGAACCGGATAATAATTATTAATAAGGTGGACCTTTTTTATTACTTTATATACTGCTGTGTACCTTAACCACATGAACTTGATTTACATGTTGTATAAATAATCTAAATAGAAGTAGCTTGAACCTAAAGCTTTGATACAAATGTAGTTGAAGGTACAATATTTGGTTGTAGCTGTAAATGATGCTTTAGAGAAAAGCTGGTGTTCAGAAGCTGGACCACTGTGAGCTTAAGATTCTCATGCATGTCCACACAAACACATCCTTGGCCATGTTGTGGTGACCTGACCCTGATTTAGAGCCACACAATACTGTCTCAAATTGTTCTTCATAGGCCTACAGGAAACACTATCCCAAGAGTTCCTTTCACATTGAATTCATTTGGCTTTATTATGAAAACAAGAGAACATTGTATTTTATATATGCCTACAGCCATTTGCAAACAGACCCTGTGTAATTGGCAAAACATATGCCAAAAGAATGTAGAATAAATAATTCAAACAAGTTTTCTATACACCTGACCAGAAATTGCAGACAGGTCCTCACATTTCATACAGTTTGGTAGTACAATATTTATTTCAGTTGAAGAGTTAAAAGTTGAGCTACAAACTAACAAATCAGAGCAAATACATATGTATACAGACATATATGTACACACACACACTGCTGCACTAGACTTCAGATGGTGGACAGTGAGACGCTGCTGTGCAGACTGAAGGACACAAGATAGACACAGCAACATAATCATAGAAAAAAAAAAGAAAGCCAATCAGCAAAGTGATTCATTATCATCCGTATGAGGAATGCAGATAAACACACTGTTCTCATAAGCCTGCATGAAGGGGGCCAAACAAAAAAGTAGTCTCTGAGCAGGGGGGTTAGACAGGACAGCGTGACAATAAGAATGATGCTTTATTTATTTTTGGTAGTGCGGCTCTACTATGTACAGTACAAATATGGGAAAATCTTGTTCTGCTCACAGAGACATGTCAATCGTCCCTGTCCTGTCTATTGGAGGGGGGGGACACAGTGGAGTTTGAGGACATGGCAGACCGTCTGACAGGCCTGCAGATAAAGGAGGACAAAGGGGGGGGGGGGGGGCAGAGCTCAGCAGCATCCTCCTGACGATGGTTTGACAGTAGTGCCGGGGGTAAGCTTTACGTTTGGTTTGTCCCCTCCTCCGGCTGTGGCCCCGGGGCCCATCCTCTTCTTGATTTCAGCAGCCATGGTCATGAAGGCCTGCTCCACATTGGTGGCGTTCTTGGCGCTAGTTTCCAAAAAGGGGATGCCCAAAGAGTCTGCAAACTCCTGCACATAGCAGAGGAGCACAGAGCACAGATTGTGGATATAAATTAGGCTTTTACTTTACATTATTTAATTAGTGAACAGTAATAACACATTTAAACACTACATGACCCTGCATGATAGCAAAAACAGGTAGGAACACCTAAGCTTTAGACTCAGCCTTTAGACTTGGCCTATAGTTCACCCCGTGTTAGCTCTGACTGTTAGCGATGCTTGCTAATGTAAACACAGACCGCGACAAATAGCGACATTTCTGATAGGGCCGTGGGTGTAAAGCCAGCCCAACATTTTGTAATGTCGTCATAACCAGATCAAATCTGGATCAGCTCCGTTGTACACCGTTTTTAGAGATGTGGGTAAGTAGGAAAAGAGAGAAGGTTTTATTTTCTGATACTTTGTGAGTCTCCTACACACTGGGGACACTATGTATAAAAGACATCAAAAAGTGTATATTGCATGATAGGGGACCTTTAAGCTCATTGTGTTTGTCTTTAACTGTGACGTACATGAATATCAGGTCACATTTCATGACAAATTCATGCATAAAACCAGGAAATTCCAAGGGGTTCCCATACTTTTTTTTGCCACTGTATGTATCCCCTTCTGTATGTAACCCTCTGCTCTGCCCCTCTTCTTGACTAACTTAAATAAGACATCTTCCAAAATGCCGAGACACGGACTCCCCACAAGAGAGGAGAGTGAAGGTTTCTGTACACCAGCTTTACCTTGGCTGTTGTGTAGTCCACCACCTTCTTTGTCGTCAGGTCACACTTATTCCCCACCAATAGCTTGTTGACATTTTCACTGGCATAGCGATCGATCTCCTGCAGCCACTGTTTGACGTTGTTGAAGGACTCCTAAAAGAGGGATCAGTTAAACATTAAAACTGAGCAACCAGATGTGGCAGGACTGTTTGTGGCTCTATGAGCCACCACAAGGCTGCATTGTGTGGACAGTAATAACAACCTTTGTGCAGAATGAGGATAGGATCAATGTTTTGAGGGAAGTGACCAGAAGCTTAATCCTCAAATAGTAAGATGAAGAAGACAGTGTCTTCATAAAGACAATTCAGCTTTTCACTCTGTTCGATCTTTAATCCTAATTTAATCATTATCTTCACCACGATCATTTATGTTCGCCGAATTTACATGAAAGCACTGACATATATGAATATACTGTATTCAACTTCATTACAACGTTATTAACGTGCCTAAACTCAGTAATTCACTAAAAATATTTATATTTTAATGGAGCCTCGTCAGGCAGATCAGGGTCTTGATCAGCATGAATTGTGTCATTTTTCCCATAAGGATCAAGTCGCTGCACATTATCCCGCTTATTACATGGCCACATTCTCAACAAAGTAAAGACATGACTCCCAATATTAATATAAATGCTTTTATGGATTTAGAAAATGTTTTTATTGATTTAAATTGACATGCATCCGCTAAGAAAAATAGTCTATTGTTACCGTTTTTTAAACAGTCTGAATGAAACGGAAGCTCTCAGCTGTGTGTTTACACACCTAATGGCCCATCAGCCACAGCCACTATCCATATTCATAATAATATTGATATATAAAACAACCATTTTTAATGTAAAAGGTTAATAAAATAAAAACCCAACACTGTCATTGCAAGTGACACTCAGTTGACTTTTATGTTTTTATGTTCAGTGAAGTGTTTTATTGTTTTTGGGACGGGGAGACGTGTGTGATTAAAAATGAGTGACCAAACTAAGTCTATTCAAATTCTTAACGGGAAGAGCGGTGTACATGTAAATGGGTGGCATAGGCTATATGCATTTGAAAATAAATAGTACTCCCTCTGAGTGACTATCTGTTGACTTCACATCTTGTCACAAACCAGGGGACTTTACTTCCCCTTAGTGAGTTTATTTAAGGTAATTAGCCTATAGAAGCCCTATTTTATCAGTATGTCTGCACAGCAGTTACAATGGTAAAACTACATTAAAACAGAATTGTACCCATTGTTTCTTTAATAGTTACTAACATTAGAACAATTTTTCATACTTTTGAAATATATTTCTATTAACTTTATATCATCGTATCTCCGTGTTTCCTGGGTCTTTCTGCATGAAACAAAGACTGACATATAGTTTCAAGCCAGAACTTGTCCGGACTGTTGTTTTTATGCGGCACCGGCTTGAACAGGTCATGCGATCTGATCACGCCGGCATTATTCTTATACTTATTATTCTGAGCGCAGTAGCCTAATGGTAAGGTAGCCTATCTAATTACTTATTTATAAAGTGGAGACAAGGCAGAAATCCTACAATGAAGCGGTACAGTGTTCTCCGTGAGATCCAGAAACTAAAACTAAGTTCTATTCAAATTCCAATTCTTGACGGGAAGAGCGGTGTAAATGGGTGGCAGATATGCATTTGAAAAGAAATAGTAATCACACAATTATCATACAATAGGCTTAAACAAATATAGCTCTACACCCCTGGCCGAAATGTCCTTAAAATGAAGTCCGAGTTCGACATTTTAATTCATGTCCTGCCAAAACTGGCAGGACAGAAGGCGACACGCCGGTTCTAAGCCGTGTCCCTCACTCCTCACATCCCAAGCTGCATCCCCAAAAAGTGTATTATGTTGTTACATCGTTTCAGATGTGATGTTTCAGTTGTGCTCTTGATACGCCATTAAAACAGTAAAAACACGTTCAGTTTCCTTTTGCTTTTTGTGTCTAGAGAAGTGTGTCCTGTACACCAAAACATGGTGTACAGGAGACAGGAGTTTTACTGTATTCGGTAATCAGTAACTGATTACATTTACAAAGTAACCCTCCCAACCCTACACATTTTCTTGGATTTGTTAACACCATAGTCCCTAATATATTTGTAGAAAGGCAGGAACTGGAATTAAATCGGAAAAATGTTTAATTGTGTTTCGTGTCCCCCCCCCCCCCGCACTTCTCAAACCAAAGTCACGTGACCACAACAATATTAGAAAAAACATATAGGCTATTTGTATTTATTTTAGGTTCTTAAAATCAGACCTGTTTTTTAAATAAATCTGACGGCAGGCAGGCAGCTCTGATAACCTAATCAAATCAAGTTTTATTTATATAGCACATTTATAAACGATTTTTGGTCGAGCCAAAGTGCTGTACATATAATAAAATTAGCCTACAGTAGAGACACTTTACAGCAAATACAACAGCACAGATTGTTCAGAATATCAGTATGAGAAAAACGACACCCTCTATCCTTAGACCCTCTGTCCTCAGACCCTCAGTCCTTAGACCCTCACATCGTACAAGGAAACACTTCCAGAGAAAACCCCACAGTTTAAGGGGAAAAAATGGGAGAAACCTCAGGGAGAGCAACAGAGGAGGGATCCCTCTCCCAGGACGGACAGACGTGCAATAGATGCTGTGTGTAAATCAAAGAGATAATACATTTGACAGCATATAGACCGAATGTTAGGAAATGCATGTGTCTGTAATAAGAAGATTAATCCACGAGGATGTCAGCTACAATCCTGAGGAAGCCATCAGGGAAGCAGCATGGCGAGACCCAAGGCAGGACCGCAGAGACAGGTTCAGCCACGACCTGAAGTCCACGACTTAATCCAGAACTCAGGACTAATGATAAATGCGCCACACCTAATCGCCGGCCATTCAGCCACAGGTTCCTCTATACAAATCAAACTGTACACGGTGTGAAAGCGCCTATTGTTTTAAATAATGGTCGGAATGTGAGCCTTCTCAATTACCGTGGGACAGCAGAGGACTCTAAACAAATCAATCAATCAATGTTTATTTATATAGCCCAATATCAAATACTACATTTGTCTCAGTGGACTTCACAGTTTGTACAGAATATCAGTATGAACAAAAAGGTTCAATCAATAAACTAACATCTTATCTTAATAATATATTTATATTAATAATAATAATAAATCATACAGTATGTGTCCGAAAGGGAGCAGGAGGAAGCAAACACCCACAAAAATATTACAAAAAATATACTGCATATTAAAGCAAACTATTGTAAAGGTATAAGGGTGTAAACATTTACATTATTATGATTATTTAATATATAAAGACTATATATTATTGAATTACAAGATTAGATATTGATGTTTTTTCGTTATACTGTAGTAGCCTGTGAAAACCATAACAAATATGTGTTCAAATGCTCTTCACCAAAACACAACTGAAGTACTGAAAGTCCATGAAACTTGTCTTTCTGTATTTGTGAATGAAGCGCCATCTCATGGTTAAATCTTGAAATTGAAAATCTGGCAACGCCCTCTTGGAAAATAGTGGGAGGGCTTAACATTCCCAGCCACTGGGATCCGTTGGGTCTTTGGCAGGAACCTGTTGGCTGGAGTATTTTCTAGAGTGCTACATATGTAAGTTTGCCCACTTACAAAGAAATGACCAGTCTATATTTGTAATGGTAGGTTTATTTTAACAGTGAGAGTAAGAATATCAAAAAGAAAATCCAGAAATGTACATTATATAAAAGATACAAATTGATTTACATTTAACCATGGGAAATACATATTTGACCCCCTTGTAAACATGTGTTAGTACTTGGTGGAGAAACCCTTGTTGGACGCACAGAGGTCAGACGCTTCTTGTAGTTGGTCTCCAGGTTTGTGCACATCTCAGGAAGGACGTTGCTGCAGGATTTGATCCATTATAGTGTAGTGTGTCACCAATAGTTTTCTTGGTGACAATAGTTTTCTTGGTATAAGTTCCTCCCGTGTAGTTCTTGGCTGATACCTCACCTTTCTCATGATCATAAATACCCCACGGGGGGGGGGGGGGGGGGGGGGTGATCCTGTGTGGAGCCCCAGACCGAGGGCGATTGATTGTTGATTGATGCTCATTTTGTGTTTCTCTTTGAAGATCCTCTCAAAATCCTGAAGGTTTTGAGGCTGATGCTTGGCATCTGGAAGCTTCAGCTGCCTCCACAGATTTTCTATGGGATTAAGGTCTGGAGACTGGTTAGGCCACTCCATCACCTGAATGTGCTTCTTCTTTAGCCACTCCTGTGTTGCCTTGGCCGTATGTTCAGGGTCATTGTCCTGCTGGAAGACCCCTCCATGACCCATTTTCAGTGTCCTGGCTGAGGGAAGGAGGCTATCTGCCAAGATTTTACATTACATGGCCCTGTACATCCTCTCCTCGATGCGTAAGTCCTCCTGTCCCCTTAGCAGAGAAACACCCCCAAAGCATAATGTTTCCACCTCCACGCTGACGGGGGGATGGTGTTCTTGGGGTTATAGTCAGCATTTTTCTTCCTCCAAACACGGCGTGTCGAGTTGATGCCAAAGATCTCGATGTTGGTCTCATCTGACCACATCACCTTCTGCCAAGCCTTCTTTGAATCATTCAGATGTTCATTGTCAAACTTCAGACGGGCCTTTCATGTTCTTCTTGAGCAGGGGGCCTTCAGGCGCTGCAGGATTTGATCCATTATGGTGTAGTGTAGGGGTGCAACAACTAATCGACTTAATCGATTAAAATCGATTACCAAATTAGTTGCCAACTAATTCAGTCGTCGATTCGTTGGTGACATCACATGTGTTTTACGCGCCGTTAAGCTCCAACGTTATTGGTCTTTTTATCGGTACTGGAGACATTTAAAAAATATATGTCATGTATTATTGCTACAAAAACATTATATCGCAGTCTTAGTGTCGCCAACTTGTTTTTCTAATATGCAAAAAGACAAACAAATGCGTCTATCATGTATTTTCGATCAGACGAGATCTCTCTCTCCCCTGTCTGTGTGCGAGGGGGCGGGGCAGTTTACACACACGCAGCTGCTACATGCATGCAACACAGAACGCGCTCCGAGGTGTGGTTAAACTTTACCCGTCTCGATGTGGAAAATGCTCGTTACCAAAAGTGCAATAAGAGTTTAGCATGTAAGGGCGGTAACACGAGCAATTTGTCTAAACATTTAGCAAAAGTGCTCCACATCCAGACGGAGGAATGCACCGGGTTCCACTGTCTTTCTAGTAGCTCTGTAGCCCCATCCACGAGTAACGTTTCCACGTCAGGTGTTATGTATGCTAGCAGCAACACACGGAGTTAACTACATTATACAAACATGGGTTAATGATTAGAGGTAACTGAGTTACTCTTTATTTTGTTAAAGTTTCAGCTATTCTGTTTAGAGTTCTGTCATCAGATTATTTAATACGATTTGTTAAAACACTGTTGTTTCTTTTGATGTGAAATATTATTTATTTTATTTAAATAAAAAGCAATGTTAGTTTTGTTCAAAATGTGTTTAGTTAATTTAATAATATATGTATTTTTGAATCAAGTGTTCATCTTTATTGTCTTCATTTTTAGTTTCCACATGCCTAAAACAACCTCAAGCTACATCTAAAAGTTGATAAATAAGAGCGCTTGAGAAATTGTGCAAGGCATAATAGTCCAAATAGTCGATTAATCGATAGATTAATCGATTATCAAATTAGTTGTTTGTTGCAGCCCTAGTGTAGTGTGTTACTAATAGTTTTCTTGGTGACTGTGGTCACAGCTGCCTTGAGATCATTAACAAGTTCCTCCTGTGTAGTTATTGGCTGATCACTCACCTTTCTCATGATCATCACTATGTATGGATGTTTTCATGTTGCATGGCAGATATGTGATGGCTGATAATTGAATACATACATACTAGATGGATAGAGTATGAGTTGGCGTACTGACCTGGTCTGTGACATCGTACACTACGATGATCCCATGAGCCCCTCTGTAGTAGCTGGAGGTAATGGTGCGAAACCTTTCCTGACCCGCCGTGTCCCACTTTAAAAAGGAAAACATAAGTACAGCTTTGACAGGAGACAAAGACCAAAGCAATACAATTGTTCTCACTACCCAGCATTTTCATTTTTTGTTTAATATTCATCATCTTATCTTATCGGTAAAACAGGCTCTCTGCTGCTCATGGCACATTTAGCTTCTCCACTTGAAGCCCTTACAGATGTAGCACTCCAGATCAGACTCACATGGGTGTGTCCCAGTCAAAAGCCCAGCGGATCCCAGTGGCTGGGGGTGTTGCCAAATTGCTAGAGGGCATTGCCCAATTTGTTCAATTACAGGATTTAACCATGAGATGGCGCTTCATTCACAAAATACACAAAGACAACTGGGTGTTGTAGAACTTAGTCTGTTTGCAATATTTGCAGCTCTGCAGTTGTGTTTGCTGAATACTGTAGCATTTAATCACTTATTTGTTACTGTATGGTTTTCACAAGCTACTATAATGAAAAAACATCAATATTTTAGATCAAATAAAGTATATAGTTTGCTTTATGCAGTATATTTCTTGTAATATTGTTGGGGTGTTTTTACACAGTACAGTAGATTGAAGTAAATCAATTTATACATTAAGATAAGATAAGATGGACCTTTATTAATCCCGTGGGGAAATTCAGTAGTTCAAACAGCAACAGGGTGAGAGTGAAAAACAGGACAGCACAGATTCACACAGATTAATACAATCAAAAATAAGATGAGCGATACAAATAATAATAATGAGAAACTATGAAATAAGAAATGAATAAAACTAAAATATAATTATCATATCATGTATTATAATGTATTGTATTATTAAGTAATATCATACATTAACCCCATTATAGCAGATGCCACATTGAATGGATGAACACATTTATGCATCAATAATTACAACAGAGTATTTCTAAATACAAGTTGTAAAAATACTTATATGTATTTAATATTAACCCTTTGGAGTCGACCGTCACGCCGGCATGATCAGATCACATTACCTGTTCAAGCCGGTGCCGCATAATAACAACAGTCCGGACAACATTGCTGTGTGTTTCTGTCGAAAGTACTGGCTTGAAACTATATCCCAGTCTTTGTTTCATGCAAAAAGACCCAGTAAACACGGAGATACGATGATATAAAGTTAATACATTTCAAAAGTATGAAAAATGGAAGCACATATTTGAATATATTCGCCGCATTTTATCATTTTACGAAACGGAAAATACTGGAAACTGTAGATCCTGCTCAACAGGATGTATATGTGTATTTCTGTCGAAAGTACTGGCTTGAAACTATATGCCAGTCTTTGTTTCATGCAAAAATACCCAATAAACACGGACATACGATGATATAAAGTTAATACAGATATATTTCAGAAGTATGAATAATGGAAGCACATATTTTAATATCTTCGCCGTATTTTATCATTTTACGAAACGGAAAATACTGGAAACTGTAGATTCTGCTCAACAGGATGTATTTACCAGGGAGGGGGTGAGGTAATCAGGTAAACGGAGTGATACGAAACGAGACAAAGAGGGACGGCGGGAACCGAAGAGAGACGGCGGGAAATGGAGAGAGACGAAGATATACGAAGACAGGCGGCGGGAGACTGCGATTGAAGTAAAGTGACAGACAAACATTGAGAATTTAGATATAGTTAGATAGATTTAGAGTTTTGAAGATTCAATTATGATGAAGATAACTCTGAACGTGAGTCAAGCTTTAAGCTTGTTTTTTGACATGGAGGAGGTGATGTTGCCCTCTATGTCGTAGTTGACAGAAACCGCTTTGAAGCGTGGCACAGATAAAGACAGAAAAAACTGATTTTTGTACATAATGTGTATATATATATATTTGTATTATATTTATAATAACACTTTTGCCTTATCAGAATGAAATCCATGCTACCTCAATCAAACTTTCACATTATCATAGTGACATCCCATGTATATATTTCCAGCTTTTAAATGGTTTCGTTGTGTATGTTTGTGTTACCTATGAAAAATAATATCATTTTCAAAATCTGTTTTTACGTTGTTTTTTTTTTAAATTTTGGGTCCAAAATGTTCATATAGTAGAAGATCACTGCTCTAAACAAAGTCAAAAATCCTACATCCAAACGAAATAAATATTATTAATTATGATGAATACGTTAAGTCTTGTTCATTGTTTTTCACTTTTATTAAATGTTTGATATTTCCGGTGGAAATGGTGGACTATCGGACATTCAAAATGCAGCATATTTTCACTCTTACACACATATATTCTCCTTTTACATATACATTTTCACTCTCACACACATATATTCTCCTTTTACATACATACATTTTCACTCTCACACACATATATTCTCCTTTTACATACATACATTTTCACTCTCACACACTACTCACACATTCATACATTTTGCTCTCATATTATCATATTTCAATGCACACATTCATATATTGTCACTCACACATTCATGCATTTTGTTCTCATATTCATATAATTTAATGCTCATATTTATACATTTTGCTCTCATGCGAAATCTACTAAAACAAAGTATGTCATGGTAGTGGTCAGCTGTTAAACACAAAAGTGTATCTTAAGGGCTGTACATATAATAAGCCTGTTGTCAATTTTAGACACAGGCTTATTATATTTACAGCCCTTAATAACATTCATTTTCTGGACTCAATGTGTGTCTTGGCCGTTTTCTTTGTTCCAAGCAAACGAGTGCTTTTTGTTTTGAAATCACTTCCGTGAGTTTCGCGGGCCTCCCCCCTCGCTCCACTGCATTAGACCATTTAGTATAAGGTAACAAGCAAAAGGGCAACTATGAAGGGCCGTGTAGGCCAAAATTCAAACTCCCCTCGCACACACACTACTGAAAACATCTGGCCTTGCACACACACTACTGAAATACTCTCACATTCACTACTGAACACCTCACACACACACTACTGAAAACATCTGGCCTTGCACACACACTACTGAAATACTCTCACATTCACTACTGAACACCTCACACACACACTACTGAAAACATCTGGCCTTGCACACACACTACTGAAATCCTCTCACATTCACTACTGAACACCTCACACACACACTACTGAAAACATCTGGCCTTGCACACATACTACTGAAATCCTCACACACACACTACTGAAAACATCTGGCCTTGCACACATACTACTGAATCCTCACACACACACTACTGAAAACATCTGGCCTTGCACACATACTACTGAAATACTCTCACATTCACTACTGAACAACTCACACACACGCTACTGAAAATTAACGTCATACACACACTATTGAAATCCTCTCACATTCATTACTGAACACCTCGCACACACACTACTGAAAATTAACCTCACACACACACTACTGAAAAACATTTTACTGAAAGGTTCTCAGTAGGGAATGTGCATGTGTTTCACCTATGTGTGTGTGAGGGGATTCTTGATGTAACGGAAGTCATTCTAATGTAACGGAAGTCATTCTAATGTAACGGAAGTCATCTGCTGGTGGTCTCTTTGCTAGCCCCGTTAGCTTCATTAGCTCCAGGCTACTACTCGGACGTGTTTGTTGTGTTGATGCCTGGAGGAGTATTCTTCATTGAAATATCGCACTTATCTTATGGCTCTGCAGTTCAAACAGACCGTCTATGAATGCAGTTTATTCGGTAAGTGAAATTCAAGCACTTTATTTCTTACTTGTCTTTTTATTCAGCTAACAAGCGAGACGAAGCTACATCTGTGCTAACGATGCTATCCATAGCATACAAGTTAAAACATAATGGAGAAGTGTAAAACATTAAGAAGGATTATACTGTAAAACATAAGGCTTCTCGGTGAGGTTGGTAAAATAAGGTCATGCTTGTACATTAGTTAGTTTGCTAGTTAGGTAACTGCATTGTTATTGTTAATTTAAAATAGCTATGCTCGACGATGCAGACAGCTAGCGTCACATTAGTGTTGAAGAGCAGAGTATGAGATTAACCTCACTATAAGATCTGTGTATCTGAACAATATGAATCTCACATTTCCAGTTGGTTCCAGAAATAACGTTGACGTAGATATTGCAATATGGTTTGTTGAGCTGGAGTTGATTGTTGAAGCTTACTGGTTAACGTTCATCATATTAAACGAACGAACCCAAACGTTGTTGTTTTTATTAATATTATTACCAATACTTACTTAGCATTTTATTATCATTACACTGGAGAAACCGACTTATTGTGGCAGCAGAACGTGAACATGTAACTTAATGCCTGCATTTGAGGACGAAAAATAGCTCAGTCAATGCTTTAGGGACAAGGAAATGATTTGTTTAAATATTAGATATGACGTTATGTGTGCTTCTGTGACAATGAAGCTTATTCATTGCATTACATTTGTTGAAGATGTTTGTCTTTTACCCTTACGTGTGTGTGGGCTTTGATATCCAGCACTTTTTTTTAAGGATAACAAAAAGATTATCACATGACGTTTGCATGTAAAAACAAGTCTGTGACCAACACATTGTTACTTTACATATACATCTGTTTGTTTAAAATTTCCAGGTGATGCAGACAGACCAGAGGATGCTGACCACGAGAGACAGACCTATTCCTAACATCAGTGAACTTCAGCATGGACTCAAAGGTACAAAGACTCCTTTCATACTGTACAAAGAATCGAGAAACGTTCTGGTTTAAATAGATAAAGTAACAACTATAATCAGCTTTCACATTTCAATGTATTTAAGGCAATTATTATTTTACATTGTGAGAATTGCTACCATTTGTCTCTACATATTGTCTGTAAAAGACGTGGTAAAAGTGGTTCTTGCAGTGAGACAACCGAGCAGTTGAATATTATTTAATAAGATATGTTAATGTTGATTAACTGCAGACTGTTCATTCATAATCTAATTATCTTTGTAGTACAAAGTGATGAATTAAAAAAACACATTAAAATTAAAAAAATACATTATTTCTACAGCCGCTAAATAAACAAACCTCTTTCATAAATAAC